TCAAGCTACACCAGCTCTTCCATAATAAGCAACAGTGCCAAAAAAAACGTCTTGTTTGGATAATCAACAACCAGTAGCTGCATCCAAAATGCGTGGACCACCATATTCGCAAGCTACATTCTATCATGGGGGGTAGTACGCTGGACTAACTCACCCGCGATCTCAATCGCATACAGAGCAGGAATATCAGTACCGCGATCAACAAATTCCGTTGATTCCTTTCTGTGTGTGTTCAACCACAAAACGGGTGGGAGCATCACCTTTGTGATCGGTTATACTCACTGACCCATAATCCGACTCAGCTACTGTATTAGTGGGAACATTAGCATATACAGCCACAGTCGATTCCTTTGACTTTTCCGTCCACACATGTCGACAACATTCTTCTGTCTTGAAAAGAATAAGCCCGGCATCACTCAATCATGAAATCTTTCCATTTATAACGCATTTTGTTTTAAAATTTTTATAACGATATGTATCTAGCTATAGCGGTTAATCGCACCGAGAAACTGACAACAAACTGTCAGGCCACTCACTATGAAGCTTATGTTGATAGTTTGCCACAATCGAATGATGACATGCTCGTAAAGAGAGTGATGTGCACTTTCGATATCACAGTCATCATGCAAAAGGGATTTGATTATGCAAACAAAGTGTGTTATAATTAATTACAGCTGGTCATTTGAGCTGGCCTCGTGGTCTAGTGGTATGATTCTCGCTTAGGGTGCGAGAGGTCCCCGGTTCGATTCCCGGTGAGGCCCTCTCTATGTTGAGCAATTCGCTCCGGCGCACTTTGTCTGCGGCACATTTCCTTTAATCACTTTGAAAATAGTAATATACTCTTGACTGTCAAATTAAACAGGCTGCTCGATTTATTGCTGATTTTTATTGAATTCGAAGCTTGACGGTATATCTATATGATTATGGTATCTTCTGAGCTTTGATGTATCTTCAGAATGCCTTCGACCTTACCGTAATCTTTATCAGATTGAATGTACAACGCATTTTGTTTGAGAGCTTTGATAATTAGCTGAAGCGGTTAATCGCACCGAGAAACTAGCAACAAACTGTCAGGCCACTCACTATGCTCCTAATGCTGATAGTTTGCCACATCGAAGGATGACGTGCTTGTAAGGAGAGTGATGTGCACTTTTGATATAACAGTCATCATGCAAAAGCGATTTAGTTACCCAATCAAAGTGTGTTGTAATTAATTGCAGAAGTTCATTTTGAGCTGGCCTCGTGATCTAGTGGTATGATTCTCGCTTTGGGTATGATAGGTCCTGGGTTCGATTCCCGGTGACTTAAACGGTACCACGCGTTCGTAACCATTGAAACCTGCGTTGTGTAACGTACAGTGTTTGTCGAAGAAAAAGTTTCATAGACTATATAATGTGACTGATCTGGATTTGGAAGAGTCAAGATCGGGACACCGCGTTCTTTGCCAATTCCAACACCAGTAGTATCTCTCAAAGATCAGTGAGAAATGTCTTCCTAACTCGAACTCTGCTTGAGCAAAATGTTGATCAGACCAAGCCACGTTTCTTAATCCCTTTGAGAAAAAACACTTGCTCCCTTACAAGACTCTTTGTCGTTGCAAGAACTGTTCGCAGGTAGAGAAGAGAAGACATGACTCTCAATTTGGCGCCCCAGAAATCTCGTTGGCACCAAAGACACCCTTTTTCCACTAAGAAAGAGATTATACGAAACATACACTCTAGCACTGCTCGCAAGTGTTTACTGTGGCTCACAGTCGACTCCTCAGGATAAGCACAACTATGGATGTATTATATCGTCGGAATACGTTCATAAATTGTCATAAAGTGATTTGTATAGCTGTGTCATAGACCATTAAGCGTCGCTAGTGAGCTGTTCGGTTCCTTTAGATTATTAGCCACTCGCAAAGCATCCCGCTCGAAGTACTCGTCTTAGAGAGCGGGATGTCGTAGATGTGCACAAGCAACTATTAAGATCCATGAGCTAAGTCAGGGCACTGAACAAAGCTCTACCGATCATAGTGTTCTGCAGCCCTTTCTTTTCGGGATTTGTTATTTGTGTCGAAAAAGTGGCTGTATTTAGCTTAGTATGCAATGCGTCAGTTGCCGTTAGCCACTCAGAGATAAATTGACGAAACGAAAGATTTATTCACTCATTTATCCCACCCCGTGATTAGCGCGGAAGAAAGCGTATATGACTTCACCACTCTTTATTTGGTGAGGGTCCTTACCTTGTGACACAAAATATCGTTCTGGAAACCAAGCGAATTTCATGAAGCACTCCTGTCTGGGGGATTGGTTCTCTTGCCACCACATCGTGGCATTTTAGCGACAGAGAGCAGAAATGGTTTTCAGGGTCTTTGAGGGTAGCTGTCCGCGCACGCAATGCTTTGCTAGTCATCTCCATAACAGTTTCATCTCCTCCTTACCATTTGAGTGTCTTCACCGTCTTGTACATCATTGCACACATCCCGTGAGGATGATTCCTCCAGCTTAATAAGAGCGCCTGTCGGATGTTGTGGAAGAAGGCTTGCAACCCCTAGAACTACCCTTCTCACTGCGTTCCCAACTAAATGATCGCTCTCGCCTCTTATCGTGGAGCATCGCTACTCCGCGTGGCGGGTATGACACACTCTCCCACTTTTGACTTATAGGCCCTCCGCCTCCACCGATCATAGCGGTGAAGAACACTGCAACTCCTAGTCCCTTCAACTTTGACCGAACTTGGCACTAAAATCACTAGCTTCTAGCTTGATTTTTCAGTCTCATTAGAGATGCACCCGGTAGACAGCGACATACAGTCGTTCCTGCCCGTCACAACAAACATAAACTGTAGAAACCGTGATATACGATCCTTTCTTATTTCCGATCTTTCGAACGCAGCTAACTACCCCTTCAGCATTCCGAGCTCTCTTCTAGGCACTTTACTAATCAACTCGAGCTTCATTTCTGTGCCAAAAACACTTCTGTCTTCTGACAAAGGTTGGGTTATGTCACACCATTGCTCCATCAGAAGAGAAATACATAATACCTAATTTTTTGGGCTTCTAGTCGATCATAGTTCTTGGCGCTCAAGCAACGCCATACCAATAAAAAAAATCAGATTTACAACCATGACAAGGTAAATTTCTTACACTTTCAAAGTCCCAAGCTTAGTCGAACTTTTAAAAGAGCCTTCGACATTTTTTGTCGCAAGAGGCACGTATATCAGATTGATATTCTTCATGTTTAGTGCCGCAGTCGCGCGTGGAACGGATCCTTTCAGGAACTCTACGGCAAAACCCCACAGCTTTGTCATAAACAAAGTTCCGGGCTTTTCGGGCTGCCGCGCACTTTGCACGGAAAATGGTTTAAGTGTGGAACTCCATGCTAACAAACGCACTTAAAAAAGGCCTGTACGCTCCACTCTTAACTGGAGATAGACACAGCTCTAGTGACTAATTTTGTCGTTAGCTCTATCATCGTAAGAGTGACATATATTTAGAATTCGTTCTTTTCATACTAATGACAAATAAATACATTTTCATCTCATAATGAAATATACTTGATGGGCGGCTAGCATCTTGCGTGGACGATATACCTCTCTATACAGTGTCCCATCATCTTAATAAATTTTGATACCTTGGTACTTTTGAATCCTAGAGTTATCGTACAATTGTACAGTAGTTGTTATATATACTTAATTGCACAAATGTTTGTACACAATTATATCATACTTACCTCTGGATTATTGACGCAGTTGTTTTATACTTATTCAGTGTATAAATCTTTGAAGAAATGACAGATCATCTAAGCGTAAAGACAATTGCGATGTTGTACGTTGTCGTGAATACTTCATTTTGTGACCATTCGCCACAGCTCGTTTACCACAAAAATAATATCAGTGGGCTATCGTGTGCATCAGATCAAAGCAAATGCCGTATGGCTGTTTTACTTGATACAGCAAGTATGAGATTATTTTAGTAGACCTCGAAAACCATCAGCAAAAAAACAGAGATAATGACAGCTGCATCCGCGTGAAGCTCTATGTACTATGATCTTGTGTACTTATGCTTTACACATTTGTATTAAATACAGCAAGGTACAATTGTACTTGAAGTACGAAAAACACATTGCAGTATGGTGTAATTGTTAATATTTATAAGTAGAATATTAGTATTTATATAAATGATAACGTCGAAAATAAGAATGATTTTACTATGACAATAGTACATTGCATATCTTGTTTAGCCTAAGTAGTGTGTTCCTTAAAATATCGAAATTAAACAGACACATAATTTTGACAAGGTTTCACACGATTTATTTGTTGAAGCAGACTTTAGATATACCCAAATGCTAGCATAAATTGAGTCTGTAAGCTTAAATCGAAAGTATCGTTTTCCGACAACTGTGACATCGTCTTCTTCATGACACTCCGCCTTAAGAGCATGCCACGAGGTCGGTTGAGTAGCGTAGAGCTGAGTGAAAACACTTTCACGAGTAGCGACAACATTTGGCCGCCAGTACGAATAATAACGACTTTCCCATTTAGCTATCAATTGAATACACGAAGTGGCACACAAGCCTCAAGAAAAAATGGAACGAGGAAGCGACGGCAGATGAGATTGCTGCAAATCTTCAGCGCAGATTTTTTCCTTGAGTTTGAATCCAATGAAGTTAATTTCTGAAATGCCGCTGCTTGTGCATCGTACACATAATCGTTGTGCGTTGTATCCCTGATTGACAATTTGTGTTATTATCAAAGTATCAACAAGAACTGTGTTCGTGAGCCAATATCGTATTTTCGTGAAGCACGTTATATTTACAAATGAAACATAAGCTCTGGATGTGCATTCGCCTCATTCGATTCACAGAGTAGGAATCTGCTCAATTGATTGGCGATTCGCTCACAATAGTCTGACAGTCTTGAGCTATTCCTGACACTTCTTGAAATTATTAGCTTAAATAAATAAAACAACAATAAGCACTTTAGAATTTTCATCCGTCTTGTGTGAACGACGAGGAATGGCAGACTATACACAATACGCCACGCCCTTCATTAAATCATTTTTTTCAAGCATCGACCCACTAATCATCTTTGACGACGTGGAGCATCTTACCTTACACGAGTTTCTCCGGGACTTTTACACACGCAAAGGATTGCTTCACAAGTTAGAAGATGTGGACGCTCTAGTAGAGAACTATGGACACCAGCTTGACTTCATATATGCCGAACTTGATAAAAAGTGAGCTCAGCGGTGTCTAATGTGCACATCGTTGATATAAGTTAATGGTTTCTTATGGCAGGTATGGCACGAAGTTCTCTATCAATCCACCACCTGTGGTTAAATCTCGTCAGACTAATGTTGTAGGCAGCTCTCTTAAATTCCCTCGAAACGAAAGTACGCTACTTATGATGACGAATTTTATACAAGCTCTTATATGGATATTTCGTGCCAGTTGCTCTGTTAGGAAACTCTGGGGTGGGTAAGACAAGTCTGATTTTTCGTCTTCAAAACAGCGAGTTTTACGAGAAATTGATGTCCACGATTGATGCTGAATTTCTCACATACGTTGCAAAAGTGGACAATGTCGATGTTAAGGCTCAAATTTGGGATACAGCTGGGCAAGAGCGTTTTCAAGCCACGCTATCAACATTTTGCAATCGCCCTGTTGCTGGGGCCTTGCTGGTTTTTGACGTTGGCAACCATGAAAGTTGGTTGGACGTTGAGAGATGGCTTCATAAACTGCTGAATGTCGCTGAGCATGGACTGTATGTAACACTAGTCGGAAACAAATGTGATCTTGCGAACGACAAACGAGCTGTGGAATCAGAAGAAGCGCGTCGGTTCGCAGATGAACATCACATGTTATATTTTGAGACGTCTGCCAAGACCGGAGAAAATGTAAAAGAGGTGTTTAATGATATTATCGCAGCTACTCATCGAGCACGACCGACCGACAATTAATAATGCTTCTTGCAACCACCAATTACCACTAATAGTATACTAGGAAATGAGAAGGATTAAACGAAATTGACCTCGACGCTAAAACTAGTCAGATTTTGAACACATGGCCGCATAAGACATAAGACTGTACACCTGCTCATAGACTTCTTGACCACCCGCTCTATCATTTGGTTTGCATAGAATTACGACTTCAATGTACTGCGCAATGCCATTACAGATGTGATTATTTGATAGGTAATAACCATTTGACGATTAAATCAATCGTACGTACGTCCAACAGCGCTCGCTTTGTATCTTCGTAACAACGCTTTAGTTCTTGATCGCGTACAAAAGGATATATCAGTTTGATCGTAATAACAAAAAACTAAAAAAGTAACATAACCTCGAACTTGCCGTGATTCTTTTCGTAAGGCTGTCTTGAACTCGCTAACTTTAGCTCCAGTACGCGTTGGTCTTCCCAAAGGGCTCTTTTTTATGTCAGGAAGAGGACTGAACCCGGAATGCATACGTGGAGACGAGTCCGCTGAAATTGTCAGCTTGCTAGTTGCTTGATAATTTCGGGGCAAGCTGCGATATTGATGCGATTTGTTTGCAGTTGATGATACTCGAGGCACGTAGACACGCATGTGTCCTTGTTGTTGGAGATGCTGTTCGCTACGATTTATCGCTTCTCGTAATGTTCTCATTTCATGGATATCTATTAATTGAGGAGTATATACGCGATAAGATGAGCAAAAATCTTTATCTCCAGACGCTTTCAGTGCATATTTAGCGCTTCCACATTGTTCATCGCCGTTGTTGTTCGTCATCAGGATCTTCGAAGCTTAACATGTAATGCTTGATTAATATTAGTCAGCTCAATGTTATTTAAAGCCGTTGAACAACACGTACAACGTGAAAAGGGTGTATATTTATTTGATCGATACGTCACAAAATAGAACTCAATGCACTTGCTACATCTTAACATTGCAATCAGCGTCACGAGGGGAGTTGGCAGTCTTCTCATCGTCGTTCATCTTGACTGCGCACGAGATACGAGGCGCCTCCTTCCCACAAACGGCGTGAAGCACAATACTCCACGTGTCTTTATTTTCCGACAAAAGTGGGAAATGTTTGTCTTCCCACTTCTTTGAAACGAGGTTAGTCTTGCCGACTTCGAACGCACCAAACTTGCCCGACAAATCGCCCTTCTCGCACACTTCTGGGTGAGTTGTGTAGTTACCAGGATTGCACACATAACTCTTAGATTTGGCCTTGCATGATTCCTCCGAAACATACTCGGACGCCGGGCCACACGCCTTGAGCGGGTCGTAATGGTTGTCAGTCGCGGCTTTAGAGCACTGTTTATAAGATGCTGATGACTGAGTCGAACCCCACTTGGTATGAATGTGCCACTTCCAGCTTGTAACAGGCTCGGTACAATTACCGTCGAATTTGCCAATCTCAGTTTGATTTACACGAGAGAAATCAAGATTGGCCGTGATGGTAGCGGTCGACGAGGTTTCACTCGCATACTTTACTTTGATGAAGCCTTTCACGCCACCAGCCTTAGCTGCATCGAACTTATAGATAAAGGAAGGGTGGGCAGCTACACAAGAAATGGCTGTAGCGACGGCACAGATAGAACCAATATTAACCATGCTTGACAGGGAAATGTGTCACTTGAGAGGTACTTGGAAATTGCGCGAATGAAGATGCAATGAAGCAACAGAAATTTCGAGATGTCTCATAGAGAAGGTTTACCCCTTGATTTTGTGCATTGCAAATGCTTTGAAGATAAGCTACTCATCAAAGGATCAATCTTTAGCTGTGCAAACCATGTACTCCATACACTAATATCATACGCTGCACTCTGCTCGTACTTTGCGCGACGCAACATTTCGATCAAGCAGTCCAAAGTTGATGCTTCTTTTTCTTGACAATGTGCGACATTTTACTCTTACCTGCTAATTGAGACTATTACTAATGTTAGCTAAGTTCTAATATTGATCACATGGGTTGGGATGTTTCACAGCGTCATAAAAGGTTGTATGTTATGGACACATGTAGTCACTCACTTAGGTCTTCTCATGTCTGTAAAGTCGTCGCGTGACAGACGAAATTGTGACCTTCACCTCATGCGAAAATCTCGCGTACACAGACTATACCAATCACTACCGTGGGAGAGAGTTGAAACTGACTTTTCTGTAAACGTTCAGCGTAACTGCAATGAAATATGTCAGAAATCATCTCAAGTATGCCGATGGTCTTACAATCATACTCTTTCAAGCGCAAGTGTTCCGTTCGCTGCGTTATTACCATGGTCTTGGTAAACAGTTTGTATCATTAGCAAACTCTTCCAAACAAGAAGTCCCTACTGCAGATGCCAGTAGCAGCTGCGCTATAAGCATGTACAGCAGAGTTTGAAGCATAAACACTATTTTGATTACTAAGTGCTAATCGTCATTTTATGTACCTGTTTCACCAAGAATTTAGGTTAAAGACCTCCAAATCGAAAATCATACTTCTGGCAGCCTAAAAGTGCAAGATGATTACCATGTATTTTGCAAGGAGAAATTCTTCACTCGTAACTCTGCGTAAATAAATGTACAGAAAATTGGTTCTAGGCACGCAAAACCCAGTATCCTGTGCTGAACACTTTGTGTAATCGAGTGTATTATTTTGAATTTAGCAACAAAAAAGGATACCGTTTTTAAAACTATAACCCTATCTTACCTATTTTGTGATGTGTACTTTACACGTTTGTACAATTGTACTTCACCCCTTTGTGTGATTGTGTCATAGGAACGACGTAATAATACAGATGACGGAACTTCGCAACGGAGGAGTCCTTGGCAGTTAGCTTCGCATCAAGCAATACAGTAATGGATATAATGAAAAGTACATTTTATTATCTATGTAAAATATCCTCCAAATAGCTGAGCAAACTATGTTCTTAGTCAACCTACAGGATACCGGTTTTTCTCCTGGGTGCATCATCCTCCGTGCGTAGTATACACAAATTCGATGAGTGAAAGCTTTCTCAGTGCAAGGTGCGAGGCAACTCCACTTCACTTAGAAGCACTCATAGCGGATCCAACCATGTAGGAGATGTAATCTGTACGAGAATAAACCACGAGGTGTTCGATTATCTGATTTCGGGGCAACCAGACACGCTCAATGAGCCTTTGTCTTTAGCCGGTCTCAAGGCGATAGCACGCTTAGCGGTTCAATGGGCTGAAAGCGGTGATTACTCGCTTGGAGATGTCGCACCAGCGCGTTATTGAAGCTGATGAGACGTCTCAAGCAAGGTTATTGGTTATAGCGCAGTTGTCCCTGATCATGAGGTCACGGGTGATGAGCGTCCAACCACTTGAAGGCACGAGCAAAATGTCATCTGTCTTTTGGAAAGAATTTGAGGTGGCCCGTGCCCCAGACAAAGTAACAGTACGTTGGGCGTGTGGTTTCCAAGCTAGGAGGCCATGCGCGAGAATGGGCTTTTTCGTACACAACATCTGTGGATGAGGGATTCTCAGCGTGAAAGATTTGGAGTGACAAATGTTGTGAGTGCTCGCACCAAAAAAGCAGGCATACCGGGTGCGCTACAAAGTCTCATTCAGCCATCAAGGTAAGCGACAACTAGTGGTTCGCGTCTAGAACTTGAGAACACTTATTGCTGCAATGACGTCAGAATATCTGACGAATGTGGTACTTGACACTCGATCGGATATGCCCATAGCTGTATACACCGAGATCGATGGACTAAAAAAAGTCAACCGAGTGGTCAGTGAAGTGTTGTCGCAGAATGGAGCTCGATGTTACCATTGTTAAAGTTTTTTATTAACGATTGGGTGTATTCATCCACTGAATTCACGCCGAATTTGATGAACGGCATGAGACACCCGCAATTACCACTTCCTACAATGGGTGGTGTCTCTACTGAAAGTGAAAGAGGAGCTTGGCAAATCATTGCCTCCCAAATCGATACAATCAGTAATGCGAATGTGAAGTGCAAGTACAAGCCCTTGACACATTCATCATGAGTCGTGACAATGTGATCACACGTTTGCGAGTTGCAATGACCAATGAACAAAACTTACAAAAGGAATGCACTGATAGACGAGGTCGTCAAGGCTAATGTCTTTTATAGTAGGGGATTAATTACTTGTTAGTAAAAGAATCTATTAGGCGATGCGGTCTTAAGCTCGGGAGGTTCGAAATAATTAGGCTAATTCCGAGTAGTGTCAAACCATGAAGGTTCTTACACTATCGACCTGCTAAGCTGGCTAAGGACACATCCAGCGTTCTATGGAGGATACCTTAAGCCCTTCATCGCGACGATGTGACCTACAACCTGGATGTAACGCAGGGCCATACGAATATGACTTCAGAGCTGCAGCTTCGGCACGAGGGTCAAAAGTAGAATCCCTTGGCATCGTCACCCCAGCATCATCCTGACATCAAAGAGGATTATCGTGAGCTACAGAACCAAGCGAACGATTGCGGGAGTAGAAACGTCAGCGAGAAGCAGATGGTGATTGCTACGGAAGCATATTCACCTAAACCAGAGCAAGGTTGCTTGGCAGGAGGCTTCGTATTATCACCGGCAGCAGCTGCAGCAAGAGGAAGAACTTGCAGAGTCTGATCCAGTCGCCTAAAATCCGGTTCTTGATTGATTGCGTCCCAGGCGAGTTTCTATGACGCCATGCGATATCGCGAACTTCGCAAACGACCCGTTGAGTATCCTTCACGCTTTGTTGCGCACTTGACTTCCGATCGAACACCTCGATCATCTGTCGATTTACCAGCAAAAGGAGTTCCTCCATCTTTGTCAATCGTAACCCTAAAGTAGACGAAGACAGTAGAGCTGCAACATGAAAATTAGAGGAAAAAAGGCCCTCTTCGGGCACCCATCCGATTTATCAATCGACAGGAAAATCATGTCTTTGGTTTTGAGACCGTGGTGGTGGAGAGGAACGTCTGCGAACGGAAGCAACGCTTGGTGGAATGGCTGGGTATAACAGCGAACGAGCATACGCGGGCGCCTCGTAGTCTTATTCATCGCGTTCGGTGCAGATCCAAAGACGGACTTCGCTTAGGGAATCCGTCCCTTCCTTCTCTCTCTCCCTATCGCTGTGGATTCGACTAATGACCGCACGTACTTCGCGAGCATCTTCGATATTGAAGTGATACCGATCCTGCACTGTGAAATGGGCAAACCGAAAGCCCATAGCGCGTCCCTTTAACTAGTATGCAGCGGTATCGCATTTGCAAATGGTGGGCATCCACTGATTTGGTTGCACGAGCCCATGCCCAGAATCAAGTGTCGATTGTCTACGGAATCCAGATTAGATTACCGGATGTTCGGTACGTACACGAGACTTCGTAGCTCTCCTCCAACATGTGCAATCAGTCCGATGGCGCGGAAATAATGGTTCAAGTTATCATTCGAGCTTCAACCCCAATAAATAGTTCACTAAACTCTCAGGTGGCACAACCACGGCGGTTGTGAAGCTTGTGATGACGGTCAATCTCAAAAAAACGCAAATGCACTGAGCGACTGAGCGACTGAACTCGTCAATATGTTCTTCATAGCAATCATCAGCTGCCTATTCCGGTCGTTTGATGCCAGATTATGGTTCAACGCGCAGAAGCGCTGTTCGGCGTGGAATTGAAGCATTGTATAAGTTCGATTGTGGCGTGGCGAAGGCGCCCTCGTATCCTCGAATTGAGGTGCAATTTTGCGGTGCGCTCGTAATCGGCGCAAGTCGTCTTTAAATCGTTTTATTTTGTGTGGGATCACGAAGGACCGAGTCAAAGAGTCGGAGAAGGCCTGAAATGAATATTGGCAAAACTCCTTTTGGGTGGGAGTGGTGTAATGGGCTAGTCTCCTTACATGTGGTGTGTGAACTACATACTTGCATGTAATTAACATTAACTATAGACCCTGTTGAGCTGTATATACCTCAATTATGTTAATTTAAATTAGGAAGCACCTACCCATTTAGAGAGGTTTCAAGCTTGTTGGCCGTAATGATTCAACGTCACCTTTCCTCCTCTTCCACGTAAATCAACGGCTCGCTGGAAGTATGCAGCACGCGATGAAGTGTGCTAACTGATTCATATCTTCTTCAGTAAGTGCGTGTACACGGACGGACAATTCCCGTCACAATTTGATTCACAGACACTGGAATACATGAGGGCATGGTATCACCACTTTGGCAATAGCAACCAACATGCATAGACCACCTTAATGGTATAACGGGTCGCAAACATCTAGGCGCGTTGTATCAACAGCAATGTCAATAATGACTTGATAGCCTATGCGACAGATGTTCGACCTGAAGCCGTCATATGTGCTGCGTATTCATGACCAGGCAAGAGCGGCATGATGCGATTAAAGCATTTGTGTGGTGCACCGACACTGCGCAATATTTAAGGGCGTCGTATACCACGTATAATTCATTTACATACATTACCGGATATGCAATAGCGGATCGCAGCCACCAGCATAAGCGCATCGTCTTATATCGACAGCAATGCCAACAATGACATGTTTGCTTATGCGACAGCTGTTTGACATTAAGCCGCCAGATACGTTGCGTATTCGTAGAGCGGCATGATGCGGCTAAAGTATTTGTGTGGTGCATCGACACTGCAATAGATGAGGGTATCAAATCATCACGTTGTCAGCAGCGATTAGCACGAATAAGCCGCGTAAATGCAATAGGAGACATGATTATAACGTGTCGCAGACATCAAGGCGCCACCATTAATATCAACAGCAATGTCAACAGTGAGTTGATAGCTTGTGCGACAGCTTTTTGACGTAAAGTCGTCCAATGTGCTGCATAATTATAAACAAGCAAGAGGGAATGTTGTGAACACAAGCATCATTTTGGTGCACTGACACTGCAGCAAATAAGGACATCGTACCTACATAAGCGGACATACTCTAACGTACATAGACATAGAAACGCGTCCGTTTATATCGACAACAATGTCAACAATAATTTGATAGCCTATGCGACAGCTAGTGACATTAAGCCGCTGCATGCGCTCCGTATTCATGACAAGTCAAAAGCGACATGCATTGTTTTTATTTGACCGTCTTCATTTCTTCGCGACAAATTGATAACGAATACAAATGTTTTTGTGCGCTTGCGAGACTAGAGATTTCTTGCAAGTGCAGTTTAGCGTTGGTTGTCCTCGTATATCTTGACTCGTTTGCTTATTTTCTTTTCGCCGAATTTACTAAAAAAACTTGTGCCAAACTGCTTCTTGTGCCGTTTTCAAGAGCGCCATGCATTCAGCTTCCGTCGAAGGCAAAGCTAATTTGCACAGTTTCTTGCTCCTCCACCTTATTGTGCGATCACCTTTCATTAATGTGAAATTGCTGGTGCTTCTTCTAGACTCCATATCTCCAGCCTTATCTGCAACTAAATACCCCACAAGCCCATGCGTGCCGCTGGCTCAAAACTCGACGGCAAAGCATTTCGTAACTGAATTTATCGAGAGACTTGCCAGTGTGTCGGGTATGGACCGACCACAAATTAACTCACCACTCCAAATTGCTGCTGTCAGATCTAGACGTGTGCTAACCATCAAATGTATAAGGGATTCGATGGCATTGCAATATGGCATGTTGGCCATGATCTCTTCATGATATCAGCCTCATTTATACCCGCTTTGGTAATCTGGAGAACCGGATCTCAAGGTATCCTGGCGAATTTGCTGTATTTTATGAAATATTCCGAAACATCATTGGCAGTTTCGGTCTGCCGCATCGTGACCTTCCCAGCTTTCGTTCCAGGAATAATTTTGATTTCAACATATTATTTGAGCCGAACCATATCGCCATATCAAATCAACATTGTATTTTGAAACATACTCGATTGCTGCTTGCGATCGTAAGGTTGCGACTCTGAAAGCTTCAAAGGCAATTTACTGATTTGTGCCTTTATAAAAACGCAGTGTCCAAACCGCACTTTGTGAGCTCAAGAAGCTGCATGAAATCGTCGATATTCTTGAAAAGCATGCGAGGAGCTTGCTTCAATCTATAGAGCGACCTTGTACTTGCAAACGCAATTAGGTCGACTTTTATCGACTTATACATCCGTTCGAATAAAAAATGTATTCTCCAGAAGTACCTTCTATAAATAACTGTCTTGACATCAATTTGATGTATCGCTAGGATGTATTTTTAACTTGAATAAAGCATGACTTTAATTAACGTGTACTTTGCAAATGCTCAGGTCTCAGTCGATATCGTATTTTTATGCAGCACCTTTGACCACCAAACGAGCTTTGTCACACTTAATCCCACTGCCCTGATTTTCTTCGCGCAAATGATTCATCTGATGATAATCTCTTAACGCCCATGCGTCAGTGGCACGAGCCTTCACGTATCATTCTTACAGGTGACTTCATCTTCTGGGTTGCACGCCTTATGGCATTTGACTTCGAAGATAAATTCAAAAGCCGACATAAACATTATCGGCATTTCCTTCAGTAAATTTATGACTGAGACTGCTTCAACATCACAAGCTGTTTGAGAAAAGAGCACTTGTACTGCAGCTGCCAAATGCAAAGTGAAAATAATTTAAGCTCCTTAGCTCGCAAATCTATTTGCTATCTATAAGTCTGCTGTATGTATATGATGTTTTAGAAGCCTCTGAAGCTTCAAGTGAATCTCAACGTTCTTTGTTCGCAAACACATTTTCTACCTTTAAACCTGCAGTATGTTCTTGATGTTCTAGAAGCTTCAGAAGCATTAAGTGAATCTCAAGCATACTTCACTGTATTTGTTTAGCTAACGCCCCAATTAGCGGATGCCACGCCGCTTTCCCATTATTGTACATTTTATCGCCGTACGTTCGTTGTGGAATTCAAACGAAACGAAAATATGTGTCACACTTCACACAGAACTGCCAACAAGAAGTTTTAGTAGCTGAAGGCTGATAGCCGCGGCGTCTTTTGAACAATACTTTGACTCAACTTGTCCGTGCTTGGTAGCTTGATCCCCAGCTTGTCCCAGATATATTGAAGTGTACTGCGGTGATTGAGTTGGTCGTTAGGGTCGCCTTCACACCCTTTGTCATCTTGACTGCAACACTAGCTGTTCGTCCTCGGTTTTCTTGCACCAAAAGTTTTGGCGGATGTTGATTACGTTTGGGTTTTTGTGAGACTTAATATTCTTGGTCAGCTCAGTGAGAACTTAAATGTCCAAAAAAACTTAGTAAGATCAGCATACTTCATCCGTCGAACTTGGACAAGATTTCTTTAAGCCATGTCGCTTCTGGAACAACTTGCGGCAGCTTACGCCCGCATCATGTACTCTGCTTCCATCTATGATAGCGCCACTTTGTGTAGCTTCTTTCTTCTCCATCTGACACATCCACTGTTTATAATCAACGCGTAACGCAAGTATTGGGTCGAGTTTAAACGTCTCCAGCTCAATCCGCATCCGAGTAGCTTTATTTTCTTACTCCTCTTTGAGCTCGATGGCATGCGTTCTTATACCTTGAAGGCAACGAAATACGCAACTTAATACTTATCAGTGTGTAGGACATGGGTCCGCCTCAAACTGGCCACTACAGCAGCAAGATTCCGCCAAATCCCAACCATGACGTATACCTGCAACTAACAGAATTGTGGCCTGGTACTATGGACGTAGTCTTTTCGTACTTTTAGTATCCTTCAATAATCTAGTCACCTTGAATCCTCGTTTTGAGGGGTCATCACAGGAGGATTACTCCCTCCGTGCCGAAAGTTCCAAAATGTCCTTTGCTGACGTACCAAAAGACCTCCATCTGCCACATCTCGCTCACTGTCCATACTAAGGATGCTGTTTAGGGGTCGAAGTCCATGATGTCAAAACTTTTACTCAACACAACCTTCGTCGACTGAAGCAGCCTGTCGTTGATGCTTGCGAGGTCTAGAACACCAGCATAAATAGTTACGATAATCAAATTTCGGTCGTCTCGATTAAAGTAGATGCAGTGATCGGCTATGCATCTCTCGAATCACAGATCGAGTCAGAATTTGTCTGTAGTCTGGTTTCAAATTTGCGGTGAATGCTGGAGACCGTAGATTGACCGTTTGAGTCGGCAAACTTACTCCGGGTGCTTTCTGCCCGTGTATCCGTCCGACTGCTCCATGTAGATATCTTCGTGAAGTTGCCGTTCAGAAACACCGCTATTTCATCCATCTGTACTTGGCCATTTAGCTGAAGTAATCCGGATCGTCGTAAACTTGGTGTCCAGCGCAAGGTTTTCTTCGTAATCAAAACAATACTTTTGTGTAACTAGCAGTGACACACTGTAGCATGTACCGTCAAGCTTCAATCTCAATAAAAAAGCAGCAATCAATCGAGCAGCCTGTCTAATTTGACAATCGAGAGTATTTAATTATTCTCAAAGTGATTAAAGAAAATGTGCCGCAGACAAAGTGCGTCAGAGCAAATTGCTAAACATCGAGAGGGCCTCACCGGGAATCGAACCCAGGACCTCTTGTACCCGAAGCGAGAATCATGTTAAGTATGCTGCTGTAGTTAATGCTTGCACTAACTCATGAGTTATGGTGACTGGCTCGAGTGATTTGGCACCGTGACGCTAAACCGAAAGTCGTGAGCACAATTCCCGCTAAGGATGGTTAGTGCGTGTTTAACCTTTATGGTTAAGACTGCATATGTCTGCAAATTTAAGTGTGTACTTATTTTAGGCTCGCGCAAAGACTGAGTTTGAGTGTTCCACATACCTTGGGATGGGTTGGTAGCCTTAAACTTAGGTTTAGTATAATGTGTGGCCCGCAAGGCAGCTGCGCATGGGCCCACACAATTGCGTCTAACATTAATAAACTCACTTCTGCAGTTGCATACACAAGCACACATCACTTCTACCTCTGCCCTTCTTATATCCTTTAAAATGACCAGCTGCAAGTAAGCACAACACACTTTGTTTGCATAATCAAATCGCTTTTATACGATGACTGTTATAT